AGAGAGAGAGAGAGAGAGAGAGAGAGAGAGAGAGACAGAGCATGAGTGGGGGAGGGGCAGAGAGAGAGGGAGACACAGAATCCGAAGCAGGCTCCAGGCTCCGAGCTGTCAGCACAGAGCCCAACGCGGGGCTTGAACCCACAAACCTCGAGATCGTGAACTTTAGTCGGAGCTTAACCACCTGAGCCCCCCAAGGCGCCCCTGCCGTGAATCTCACAGAATGCTGGGCAACGGGAGAGGTAACTGGACACTAAAGAGCAGACGCTTCACTGATGTTCTAACATGGAGAAAAAGAAGATCCACAAAATGACAGGGGAAGATGATGGTAACCCCTGTCAAGATTCTAGAGTTGATTTTTAAACACATGGTTTAGAAGCACGTATTTAAAAGGCAGGAGTCTGTATTTTCTTAGAGTCAAATCATACCATATCCACTGCTATAACCTGTATTTCTTTTTCTCCCCCCTTTTATTTGGAAATGATTATGGATTCACAGGAGGCTACTAGAAAAAATTCTTTTTTCCTTTTTGATAGGGTAACGAGGCTGGTCGATATTAACACTGTGTATGTCGATTTCAGCAAGGCATTGGGGGGAGCCTCCTAGCATTGCCTAGATTGCCATTTTGATGCAGGCCTTTTGTTTTACTTAATATATAATCATTTTAAGAGCAGAATTCATATCTATTTTGTCTCTGTATCACCACAGCCCTTTACACATGAAAGGGGTTAAGAAATTTTTCTGCTATTGAATAAGATCCTTTCTAACAAGATAAGAAAGTGCCAGCTGACTGTATAATTAGATGGATCCACAACTTGGTAAAACGTTGTGCTTGGGGAAGGTTGATTAACAGATCGGTGTCAACCTGGAAACATGATATGCCAGGGGACTCACAATCTGATGCCCTGGTCTGTACAATCTATCAACATGTTGGAAGACACAAAATCAGGAGGACAAAATTAAGATTTAGAATCACCCCGAACTGGATGTTATGCTAAACCAATAAAATGAAATATAATAGGGCTTCATAAGGGATTCCAGGGACCAACTGCATAAAGACAGGATGTAGGGAGACCTAGATTATCTGACTGCTCCCTGGAGGTTTGTCTGAATTGAGCCAACCACATTAGTGGGCTGCTAAGAAAACAGTCTCAGGCTGGCTTGATAAAAAGAAGGGAGAAAACTGGATGGAAATGAATGGTTCTAATGTGCAGGAGAGCCCAAAATCATTAACAACAACAGAAAGAAAATGAGTTTTAGAGGAACACATCTATCATATGATACCATTTACAAAACAATATTGTATATTATTTACAAATGTGTAAATAAGCCGTAAAAGAATAAATACATACACATGAATTAGAAACAGAAGATACATAGGGGGCTTTGGCTGTTGATAAATGTTTCATTTCTTATGCTGGGTATACAGATATTCACTTTATTATTCTTTGTGCCTTTTGTGAGTCTGAAATAAATTTAAAAAAATTATAGCTCTGGCGGTTTTGACACGATATAATGCTTAAAAAAAAGTTGTAGTGTCTAAAAATGGGGCGAGTTGCCTTATGAAGGGGTGACGTCTCTATCACTGGAGATGATCTGTCAGAGGGTCATGTTCTAGAGCAAAGGTTGGCATACTACAGCCCTCAGGCCAAATCTGTCTTCTGCCTTTTTTAAAAATAAAGACTCATTGGAAGCTGGCCATGCCCACTCATTTATGGCTTCTTACACACTTCAAGGGCAAAGTTGAGGCTGTATGGCCCTAAAAAGTCTACATTACTCTCTGGCAGGATACAGAAAAAGTTTGCTGACCACTGTTCTAGAAAAATCATTTCATTGAATGGGCTCAGTGGGCACAAGCAGAGGAGGAACAGAGCACGAGCAGGGGAGGAACAGAAAGAGAGGGAGACACAAAATCCGAAGCAGGCTCCAGGCTCCAAGCTGTCACCACAGAGCCCGACGTGGGGCTTGAACCCACGGACCATGAGATCATGACCTGAGCCGAAGTCGGACGCTTAATGGGCTGAGCCACCCAGGTGCCCCTCTGGTTTTCTTCTCAAAGGGGAAATTCAGGGGCAGACTGTAGAAACTACAGCTAACTGTAAAACCTGTGCCAAAAAGTCCAGAATGGGGGGCGCCTGAGTGGCTCAGTTGGTTGAGCATCTGACTTCAGCTCAGGTCATGATCTCGTAGTTTGTGGGTTCGAGCCCCACATCAGGCTCTGTGCTGACAGCTCAGAGCCTGCAGCCTGTTTCAGATTCTGTGTCTCCTTCTCTCTCTACCCCTCCCTTACTCATGCTCTGTCTCTCTCTGTCTCAAAAATAAATAAACATTAAAAAAAAAATTTTTTTTAATTCCAGAATGGTTCTTCCAAAATGATTTAACCCTGATTCAAACCAAAAGATTACTTGCCAATCTAGACAGATCAATGGATTGATCCCGTGGTTTTGACTTTAAAAGTTAACATAGCACCACGTGTGGTCTAAAGAGACCCCGGTATTGCCAAATGAATGATGGGTATATTCAAGTGCCTGCGCTTCCTACCCCACCTCAGAGAAGCAGACCTTGTCGGCCTCTCCTGCTCGCTATATAGCAAGCATAGTGACCCAGGGGGGCAGTCAATCCTCCCCCCTGCTCAGCAACCCACAGAACCAGCTGGACATGAAAAGCTGAGCTGGACCTTTCAGAGACACTCTCACAGGAATGTGAACCAAATATGTGGAAAGTCTAGGGAGGGGAGTTAGTGGTGACATCTGACATCTGGCAGTGATATTGGCTTCTGTATCCTTGACATATACAGACCAGAAGGGCACACAGTGGAGACCATCAAGCATACGTTTAATATGCAAAACAAAAGGTGAGGATATTCAGCTGAAATAGTGAGAAGGGATTCAGCCCCCACTCTATTCTAAAGGACTTGAGGGGCGCCTGGGTGGCTCAGTCGGTTAAGCGTCCAATCTCGGTTTTGGCTCAGGTCATGATCTCACGATTTGGTGAGTTCGAGCCCCACATCAGGCTCTGTGCTGACAGGGCAGAGCCTGCTTCGGATTCTGTCTCTCCCTCTTTCTCTGCCCCTCCCCCACTCACGCTGTCTCTGTCTCTCTCAAAAGAAATCTATAAACTTAAAAAAAAAAAAAAAGATTTAAAGGACTTAAATCTTCCTGCCCCTTCCCTTAAGTGATTTCAATTTCGACATGCTCCAAAAAGCCTTTCAGTACAACAGACTGACAACAGTCTTTCAAAGTGGGTGTTTTGCAGACACTGGGGCATCTAACACAAGTCAGCTACTTCCGGTGCCAAACGGAAGACTCATCACCTGTTTCAACTCTAGAGGAATAATCCGCTGTACTGAACTCACTGAAAACGGGCAGCCGGGTGTTATGGCGTCTGCGCTGACCTTCGAACCCAACCTCTCCCGCAGGGTGAATCTTGTTGTCTTCCTCTCCACAGAGCTCATTTGTTTTCAGTAAACCCTTCTGTCCTCCCCAAGTTCCAAAGTCATCGTTCTCCACAGAAACCCAGACTTGGTGAACCTCCTAGTGCCAAGGCTGTGACACACGGAGATGAGGAACCCAGGTCAGTTGTGCCCTGCCCAGAACCCTGTCTGAAAGACGTCGACTTCTGCCCGGTTGTGGACTACGATTCCTTCACACCAACGGGGGCAAGACCCAGGGCTCTCTGCTCTCAGGGACGCACGCAAGTGGTTTATGTTTGAGGCGGCCATTATCACAGGCTCCTCAGAGGAGGAGAGACACGGTCTCTGGGCAGCCACCTCATCTCTCAAGCCCCTTCTGAGCTGGCCTCCACCCTCTGGGGGTCCCACTAATGAGGGAGCCAAAGGCAAGCTGAGAGCAAAGCACGAGCTAGAGCTAGCCATCCCCCTCCCCACCAGGTGGGACACGTGTGACACTCCTCAGACATTCCTGGCTGCCCGAGGACACAGGAAAGGGAAAAACAAATAGCTAACTGATGGCGGTCACGGTCGTGTGGGACGTGGGTCTCCATCAGTCTGCAACTGTCTTAATGATTTATAAGAAAAAAAGGGCAGTCTCCAGAATCCTATAGACTCAATTTCCTGGAGCCCTAACATCACCCTCCCCTCCATGGTGATGGGGGAAACAAAGACAAGAAGAAAATGTAGATTAAAATTAAAATTTTTTGGAGAGAGAAAGAGAGAGAAGCAGGCCTCTGTTTCTACCCAAAGTGGGGCTCGTGTTCACCTGATGCGGGGCTCGAACTCCCGGAACCGTGAGGTCATGCCCTGAACCGAAGTCAGATGCTTGCCGGACTGAGCCACCCAGGAGCCCCAATAAAATTAAATTTCTTTACAACCTGCAGCCCACTGACAAATACTCGAGGCAGGCAGAGTAGAACATTTCTGCAGGAACTCCCTTCTGTCTTAATGTAAATGCTTTGCTAGAGGGAAAAATAACTTCAGCTCAACAATAGCAAGGCCTCCAGTATCTGAAGGTCCTCTTTAGCATAGGGAAGTCCGTTTGGAAACCTCCCTCTTTCCTTAACACTCCCCCCCCCCAACTTCTTAGTATGTA